GGCCGGGCCCCCCTTGCCCAGTTTCCGCAGGAGGGTGTTGAAGCGCGACTTCTCCTTCACCGTCTTGGCGCACAGGATCTCCGCTTGGCCCATCAGCGTCAGCTCGTCCCCCGCGTGCAGCGTGAAGTTGTAGCCTTCGCTGTCCTCGCTGACCTCCCCCGACACCACCTGCCCCGCCCCCGACAGCCTCACCATGGGACCTGCTGCCCTCCCACCTCCCTCTGCCCTCCCACCTCCCCCCACCCTCTGCTGACCTCCCACCACTGCCCTGTAATGTGCCACCGCCAACCCCTGATGCCTCACCACCAGCTCCTGATGTCCCACCACCATCTCTTGGTGTCCCACCACTATCCCCAAAGTCCCACTGCCATCCCCTGATGTTCTACCACCCAACTCTTCATGACCCATCACTACTCCCTGCTGTCCCACTGTTATCTCTTGATGTCCCACCACGGACCCCAACGTCCAGCCACCATTCCTTGATTCTCACCACCATCCCCTGCTGTCCCACCAACATCCCCTGCTTCCCCAATGTGCTTTTTTTGATGGCCTACCATCATACCCTGATGTTCCACCACTACCCCCAATACCCCAGTGCTGTCCCCTGATATCCTACCACCAATCCCTGGTGAATCATCACCACCCCCACTGTCCCACTGTGCTCTCCTGGTGTCCCACCACTATCCCCTGCTGTTCTCTCTGTCCCCATACCAACCTTCACACTGAAGGTGATGGCCTCCATGACAAAGACACGGTCTGGGAAGATGCTGGCCACTTCCTCCACACTGTTGAAATACTGCACAGGCTCACGGATGTCCCGGTCCTGGTCCAGCAGCTTGAACTTCCCTGCATGATACAGCCAGGCCCATGGAGGTGAGAGGAGCCCATCTCCAGGGACCTGCTGTGACCTACCTTGGGGCCAGAATGGCCCCTCATGGGGGACGCAGCTACCCTCGAGGCTGGCCTGGGGTCCCCATCACATTTTTGGGTGGCATCTCTAAGGGCTTCACACAGTGTGTCCGAGGAGACACCAGAGCATCCCACATAGACCCTACACACAGCATCAAGGGGAGCTTTGGTCTGGGACAAAGCTGCAGGCATGGGGGGGGTCACCCCAAAGTGGCCCGAGAAATGCCCCATGGATGGAGGATCCTGGGGTGGGAGAGTCACCGGGGAGGGGACCAGGGGATGGAGAAAGCAGAGCTGATGGCAGAGAAGGCGGGAGCGGGGAGGGAGCTGTGGCCAGGGGCAGAACCGCGGCCATTGGCATCGCCTTGGCTGGGACGGACCTGAGGGGAATATTAATTCCTTAGCTGCACTCTGAGCCTTGACTTGGACATGGATTCTCTGCACAGAGTCGGCCCCTCCTTGGGCGGGTGATGAGCCCCTCCCCCGCTCCATCCCCCATTATTAATTCATTAGCGGGACTCGTTACCGCCGGGGCCAGCACTTTCAGGGGCATTAAGGATCTCGCTGCTGTGGCCACCGGCATCTCAGCACCTTCCCCTGCATTGCCAGCCCCAGTCCTTCTCATCCCATTCCTGACCTTGTCCCCATCCCATTCCTGTCCTTGTCCCCAACCTATCCATGTCTTTGTCCATCCCATCTCTGTCCTTGTCCCCACCCCATGCAATCCCCATTATCTCCATCCCGGTCCTTCCCACCCCATCCCTCTGCCATCCTATCCTATTCCCATTCCTGCCCCTGTCCCCGTCCCCATTCCATCCCCATCCCACCCCCTCCGTGGCAGCCCCTCCAACACCCCACAGCCATTGGGGGGAGGCCCATTCCCCA